CTACTCTTTTCAGCCTCCTCAGTTCTGGGAGAAGGGGATAGCTGAGTTGCCCATTAGGTGGAGCACTGTAGTGGCTAACAATGGCGATTATATTATTGATTAGTTTTTATTTCATGTTGAGTTAGAAAATAAAAAAGAAAAAATCACAACAGTGACAGGACTTTCTTTCCAACCTATATTTTGCCACACAGCGTGCTACATGCTACGCTTAGAGCCTGATTTCAGCTTACCATGGTCGTCACATTTGTCTTACCACTGATCTTTATTGTCTACTGCTATGTTCGTATACTGGGTAAGTAGTATGGAGTAGGTTCTAGTGATGTTCAATCAGCTAATTCAATGCTTAAGTAAGTCTATTTAGCGAGTCTCAACGAGATGGCTCGGGCCACACGTGTACACGTACCAATCGATTCCACTAATAGTACAGACTCGTCTCATCCCAGTATCTTGTACGTTCACACCAAAAACTTTGCACCACCAAAAAGTCAACAAGCACAACGAATGGTTATGAAAATGCTCTGTAAGTGCATGACTTACATATTATCAATCAAGTTTCCTTTTGGAATTCTTTATTTATAGCTACTGTTACTGCTGTATTCTTCGTATGCTATCTACCATATCATGTTGAACGGTTAATAGTACAATACACGAAACAACAGTGTGATAGTTCCATGTTTTGTCTGCTTCTTTATCCCATTACAGGTAAGGCTTTTTCGGGGTATGACCAGTATACAGGGTTCTAGGAGGAAATACAAGCGCCAGGCAAAAATTCACCGCGCTACCACTGGAACTTGCTGAAGCAAATCCACTTGTTGGTGCCTCCGTGCATGAATTCTAACCCCCGCGCTAAAAAGTTCCACTCCCTGTGATTCTCACAATGGGATTTCAGGAAAGCATTGTTGTATCTTCTCTTGCAAACAGCAGGCTAATTATTCGAATTAATTCTCTCTAATTAGCATATAGATGACTAAAGTAGATCATAATAAAGCTATTTACAACTGTTACAGGGCATCACAGTTCGAAGAAGAGTACTCCACACCCTCGAAAGGTGGTCATTTTGATGATGGACAGTTTCTTTCCCTTACAAATGCTTCAAAACCCGGTCCCAGTGAAAGCCGTGGTAATCTTCACATGGCCCAACGAGCAGTAGGCCATGTTAGTAAGGAGCAATCGAATTATTCCTATCAAAATGATCCCTTTGTTGGGTGTTGATCACATGGTACAAAGCCCACTGAATCAATTAAAATTATCGGAATTAACTAGAACAAAAACTGAAGTTTCTGAGGAAATCTAGAGCCTTTCACAATGAGTTTTCCCCGAGCAAAGGCTACACCTATTAAACATAATTGTCTAACATTGTAAGTGTTGTTTCCATTGAGAGTAGGATGACCTCTATATCTGACGAAAGGAGTAAGAGTTCTTTTTGACGAAAACAAAAATCTCATGGAAATTATTCTACAGGAAGAAACTGGCCTATTGAGTTGAACCGGATGTCGTATTACAGCGCACCAGGGAAGGTTCCCAGGTCAAAGGCCATTTGTGATGGGACCTTTCTCACTGGACGTGATTCCGGACGCAGAACGCGAATCCACTCCCAAAAACTGCCGAGCTGCCAATCTGCTTTCTGAGCGGAGTTGTAAACGGTTTCTTTTGCAGACTTTTGCATGCAGGCGCGTTGGCATGAGCGGCCGTCTAGCACGCGCCGTAAGGAGTTGTGGGCAAAATTAGCGTGATAACCATGTTCAAAATGCCAAGTTACCCTTCGGGGTCCCAGACAAATCCGAGATTTCGATTTAATTTGAGGAAAATGATGTGCCTGTGGGTGGTCGGCCACCATTAGTGCGGATGCCAAACTATTATCGGTGACTCCAACTAGAACGGGACTAACGGGACTTCCTTTCCTCTAAATTTCAGGAACACTGAACTAATAGTAGAGTGAAGTTCACAAGCTCGAAAATGGCCAGACGAAACCTTAAAGGGGCGGGTTGAGATTGACCAAGTAGAGGTGAAAATACATTGAACTACATCCCTTGGCAGTTACATATTTCCATTATTTCGAAGTCAAGTCTAAATTGCGAATTTGGCTGAAAAATTATGCCTACGAGTAGTTTGAGACTCTGATTATGACAAACATACTCGCTTGACGCGAAAATGCTATTCACTTAAATTTCCTGGTCGCCCTAGGGCCTGAAGACATCCTTGGTCAGGACAACCGATTTCTCCGTTGAGCTCAATCTCTTCGAGGCCTGAATACCGTCGATGGGCTCGTTGAAGTTCACCACTTCCACATTCTTCCCTCTGAGTGGATCACGAGCCTATTAGTGGAATTTCCGTCATGGACACTTCGACCCATCACGAGTTCTGGAAACGATTCGGGAGAGGCAGCCGAAACCCCATAGTGGTAGTGATATTCAGTTTCCGTTAACATTGATTCCCTCCACTGTTGATGAGACATTTACACTCACATAAGCTCTCCGGATAAGCCTACCACCATTGAATATTTATACTTTCATGTTCCAGGTCTCCTACAGTACATCTCGGCAACGCTTAATCCGATATTTTACAACCTTATGTCGACACGATTTCGAACGGCATTCACTCAACTTCTTCATCAAATTCTACCAAAACGTGAGCGAAATTACGGCACTATAGCTCGAATGTAAATCAACACGTTCGTCGCCAAATCTCAACGCGCCATAGCCTTAAATTGCTTACGTGTACAAACCTCACCCATTACATTCCCTTTTGTTCTTTAACAATTTCCGTTCCCACATTGAACTAGGTTTTATTTTTCATGAAATGTACCAATGTGTAAAAGCCAACTAATAAATGTGCAAATGAAGTATACTGATTTGGTGTAAGTGAACAAGAAAAGTTTATCGTCACTTTGTATCATCTCCTAGCACATACATATTAATTGTAACAACAGACCATGGGAAACAAGTAAATCTATTTTATTCTCGAAACCGTACTGCGCTACGAGTCGCAACATCTACTGAACAACAACCACCACACAAATTGAGCAGAGGCACGCCCAAGCAGACAATACGACTCTTCTATAGCGATTTAGACCTGAACTTGAAGTCCTTTCAAAGTCTGTATCGCATTCTGGAGGTACTTGTCCTTGAATGATTTCTCCGACGCTTCCCTTTCAACCTAAACGGCGATTTATTTGGCATTTGCAAAAACACTGAGATTCATTTAACATTCACATTTCTTCACTTGCGTAACTGGAACTTCCAAATTATAGGAAAAGGATATGAACAAATCAGAGAAAATACAAAATAACAGGCTCAGGCAGGCGGTTCAAGAGTACTTGACGTTGGGGGTGAAATGAAACGTTCTGATGTCTCAGAAGCGCACTGTGCAAATGCCAAAAGATGTACCTGGTGTTGCCGACACGCTATTATCATCCCAGATCGCGCTTAAATGTTGGGAGTACGGCGAAAGCCCAGTTGAGGAAGTACACGTTTCACAAACTGGTCAGGACTCCTATGCTGTTCATATCGTAACTACCAAGCTTGTAGATTTAGGAAAACAGTCCCGATACACCTTTACCGGAAATTGCGCAAAATTATCTATGTCGGCTCCTCGACCTGGGTAACTGGACCGGCACCGCAAGCCGGTCCAGTTACCCAGGTTTATTAACCTGTGTTACGCCTGTCAAGGGGTTTGGGTACGAAATTACTGGGTACAGTGCCGGTGGCCTCTGAAGCCTCCACACAAATGCATGGGTCTCCAAGGGAGGAAACTGTATCGTTTTCCCTTCAAGAACTACTACAGCAGAAAAAGTATCAACTAGTCTGATATGTCCTATCCAATGGAGTCAATAACGAATCATTACGACTAAAGGAGCTAAAGCTACAAATTGCGCATGTTCGAAGAAAGAAATGGGAAGAAAAATACCACGAAAACAGGAGAGCGCTACCTCAATTAGGATTACATAGTATTATACAAGCCTAATAAAAGACGAACTTTCTGTTCCCAATTTGGTAACCCTTGCACAAGTCACTACCCAATAATGACAAGCAAAAAAATTACTCTTGTCTAAGACAGCATCTGCTAAAAGAAAACCGGAAACAGACGTACCCCTTCGCTAATAAATCTCAGCATCTGCTCCTTTTCAAACCGTTTCTTTGTCTCCTCTGTCTCTTTGAGGTAATCAAGACGACGCTTCAGCTCCGTAGCTACACTCTGCACATTCTTTCTGAAAAAAAAACCAAATGCTGAAGATATTTCAATATTCAGCAAAAAAAAGCGAAGCATTCGCTTCATCAAACCATTCGGACACGCTTGTGAGGGTAAGAGTCACAGTTGACGATGCAAATAAAGCAGTGTAAAAGCAGGGGCTAATGCGACACACTGAGCAACCCGAATATAGTTCTAGTTTTTGTTTAGTGGAGTAGGCAATTAGGCAGCGTTCATACTTCGCGACAGCAGCGGCGATCGCGGCGCGGCGATCGTCGGTACATGGCAGAGCGCGCCCCAACGCTATTACTTGCGCTCCGAAGGCTTTTGGGAAGTAAGCGGCCGTTTGGCGCGATTTCATTGCCGTTTACACGTTCTGACAGG